CCGAGAGAAATCGTTATCACCTATTTTTCGTGGGTGTCTATCTGATTCTATGTCTAGGTTTCGTAGAATTTACTACTCCTAAGTGCGGGAGACAAAGTGTGCATTCTGCCATTGATCATCCAATTTTTGCACACTGTTATTGAGAAACCTTCATAAAAGTGAACCTTCTCGGATAGGCTTTCAATAGGGTTGTGCTGGTGAAACACGGCTCATTTTACGACATCAAAGGGCTCCCAAGTGCGTCATTTACTTATCCAACACTGGTGTTACTTGAGTGTTTGTTTTGAGCACTTTTTACTTAGTCAGTGCCTCTATTTTTATCGTATTCTATGCAGCAAAACATAAATTTTCAGTGGAACCGCAATTAATGCTGACGTACGGCGGTGCGGCGATGCCTCCGATGGCTTTTGCTCCTCCACAGAATCCGTACGTGCCGCCACAATACGTCCCGCAGCCACCGCATCCAGGTGTTCCCGGTCCTTTCATGTAGATTGCGCATGGGAATTGTCGTGCGTGCCATTTCCTGGCGGCAACGCCAAGTGTTCGCGCTCTTTATCAGGTGTAGGTGGAGGGCTGAGCGTGAACGCGATAGATGACGGTGTGTGGTGCTCTATCTGTCTGTCTCCGTTTATTTTGTATCCAGGTTAATCTGCGAACTCTTTGATTCAGTCGTAAGTAGTGGTCATTTTGTTTTCAACAGTTAATACTTGTCTTTTTTTGCTTGGAACCAGCAGCATGTGATCGATATGTTTTGTTCGTACTTTGTGCATGTCCCAAAGGTTAGTGATCCACAATTAATCTAGTTTATGTACACCTTCGACTTTTGTTCCGAAAATATTTATTGATTTCTTGTTATCCACGATCACATTTTTATCATATTTGTTTAATAAAATATTAGTATCAAGCGTCTAATTACGTGAAAGTTTAAATGTGGCTATGAACCGCTGTGTTTGTTCCAATGTTGTGCTGTTCATTGCTATACTTTGTTGAATTTCAAGAGAGCTATGATAGTAGTCGGCAGATAACTTGAGAAGAAGCGCAGAGAATTTGGATATTATGCGCGCGGTCGCAAGGTGGCCATATTGGAAGTGCACCCTCGTTTTTGCCGGTGAAGGGTGAGGGTAAATGTTGTTATACAACATTCTTGTTTGCAAGTGTGCAGGCAACTCTCAAAATCCTTGGGAAGTTTGATGTCCGGCTCGCTGTAGCTTTACCCCGACCTAATTCGATGTGTGCTTGATTTTCGTACCGTAGTCAATGGTTGCTGGCACATACAGAGCACTCAGAAGCTCTTCTAATTAGTGGGTGTACCGCTAGGTCCAGTCCTGCTTTGTGTGGTATACAAAGAATGACGAAGTAGGGTGACTCAAGGCGCAAAAATGTCATTGGTGTGCATATTTACTCACAGCCTCTCTCGGCTTTGTGGATGGATAGCGACGAAGATTCCCCCATGTAACGGGAGTGGTTTTTTCGAGCGATAGGTCAGGCATTATTGTCCGTTTTCGGTTCTTGTTGTTAGACCTTTGCAGCGAGTTTTGACGAAACTTACACCTCGTGGAAGTGGTGCAGGAGGCCACTTTTTGTCATGATGTTAATGATTACGTTACTACGCTGAACTCTCCGCCGCGTGTTCTCTGCCGCGATAACGACATAGCGCAGACGATTGGTCGGTGATCATAGTTTGCGGATCGAGCGATTCGCTTGCATAGATCCGAACGTTGCGCTCAGCGCGAGATCGAGGCGTCTTGCGCGCCCAACGAAATGCAACCGTGCACCAGCGGTCGGGTATGTACCTGCGCCTCGCCTGTTTGAAATTGGCGGGACGCCATTGACTGAAAGAATCCCGTTTTCAAAAGTGTGTCCTGGAATGAACTTTCGATTGCGCTGAATGCACGTTTCGATTCGCTGGCGGCAACGCTCGATCCTGCGATCGCTAAGCGTAATCGTCGATTCGTAGTCATGCCATCGAGCTTTCGAGAACGGCGCCTGGCTTCGGCTCCCAAATAACCAGACAGGGAGGAGAGAACTCTAGAACTAAGCCTGGGAGGAAGGGCTGACTCCGGATTGGATAAGCCAATTACTTCTTGCAAAGTTTGATTGTATCGGATCACAGTGAATCATAAGCCGCTGGTTAAAGCGAGAGAGAGCGCAGGCGAGAGTATCAAATCGCGGTGGTTTTAACAAAGGACTCGGAGTTCAAGTTTTCCGTAGACCGTGTTAATTAATCTCTAGCCTTAACGATAAGTGCAATTTGTTTCTCAAGCCTCGTGGTCGGTGTTGTTGTGATTGGGATTGATCATATTTAATGTTCCACGCTTTTCTCGAACCCTTTGATAAGCCCCCGTTGTTTCGGTAAGGAACAATTGCTTTCAGTTTTTCTAATTTCTCTTTTTGCTTTTTTCATGTTTTTTTTTTTTTTAGATTAGAACTTACATTATCGGCGTTTGAGGCCTGGGTGGCTTATACTGACCACTGCACTTGAATTGACCGCTGTGACTGCAATTATAACACCTAATGTATGTCATTTAGTCGATAGCCGTGGCCTCATTATTGGCCATTGTCGGATTTTCCGTCAAATCTGAACTGCTTGTCGGCTATCCCCCAGTTTTCATGTTCAGTGTATTCCGCTCGTTCGTTTTAGACTATTTTCTATTGATCTTCTCCTGTTCCTTCGTTTTATTTCCCGTATGGTCCGTATGATCTCCATCCTGCGGCCCACGCTGGCACGATGTCCCTGTACAATAGATTAATTGAAAATGTGACTTCACGCAGCGTATTACGGATATTATTTAGCCCTTTGAAGAAGGCCAGTGTGCGTGTGTCTTAGAGGCTTTTTTATATTTTCCCGATCAACAGTCATTGCCCTTGAGTGACTGTACTGGTTATAGATTTGTTGCTTTGCGCATCCGAGGCAGTGCCCGATATTGGGCCACCTGTCGTCAATGGATTGATCAACTTCCCTTGTTAATCTCTGTGCAGATTCTTGTTATTTCGGAACGCATGAAAATGCCATATCATTCATTCAATATGCAGATTCTTCTCAGTTCTTCTAAGTTTTTGAATTCATCAAAAAATTCTTGGTTTTCTTCTCTATAGCGCCTTTGATCTCCTGATTAGAACTATTTGCCATGACGCGGCATGCTTATGTTGGTGCTAGTTCTGGGGGTGGTCATAACAAACTTCCATTTCTACGTTAGTGGCCATTGTCTTGTTTAAGACTCGCCTGTAGTTGTCAACACCTAATGACGTCTCCCATGTCTTCGCCTATTTCCTTCTCACAGTTATTTGATTAGAGCTATTAGGATATCAATAACTTTGTCTCAAAAGAGCCGTGAAGTGGATCGAGCGATTACAGTAAGGGTTCATTTTTGGTGCGAATGACCTAATGTGAGCGTTGAGACTTTCTCTCTGAAGGACACATTGCTTCTCGCCTAACAAAGTAAATCTTCCGGATTCCGAACATTATAGTCTTGCAGAATTCACTTTGCAACGAACATGCGTCAGAGATTTTTGCGCCTCGTTGGTTGGGTTTCGCAACATAAATGACTGCAGGGTGAAACGGCGGCTATCGATCTCTGTAATGCATGTCCTCGCAAAAACCAGTTATCGTCGGACGGCCTCATGCTGTCTGGTCAATTCCCTGGATTCTAGTCATAGTTGTTTTATTCCAATTATAGCCATTTTTTAATGGGGCATGGGTTGTGGTTTGGGCAAGAGTGGAAAGTGGTGGGATAGCGTTCAAAGAGAGAATTTTAAGCCGCATTGTCACCCTTTCGTGGCTATAGTTCTTCTTTTCCTATTCCTATTCAGATCACCTGTATTTTGATGAATTCGTGTACGGATGTGGAGGGCCCAATTAAGGGCTAAAGCGTTCGGACAGCTGGAGTCATATCAGCGCTCTTGCATTGTTGAGCAACGGACAACTGTTTCAACCATGTGTGAATCAGCCAATTGATTCTAGTTTGCCTCGGCTGTACGGGGTAATGTTTTTGTTCGTCAGTGACTCATTCGGTTGTTTTGGCTGACGTACCTCTGGCCAGTGTTTGCTTTACTGATAGCAAAGGAATTTCATCGCTTTTCGTACAAAATTTAGTGGCATCTCGGTTTGATACCGATTTTGGCAATAAATATCGGTTCGCTGAAGTTTCGGCGTTATCATCTTTCCGAAGCTGGGGATACGGAAATCTGGGAACCGTTTTACTTGTCGAAACGCTATTTCGGACCTGCGGAGATCACCTGACTCTTTCATTGAATCTGATAAGATGATGAATAGACATAATGCAGAAACGTCAGCCAACTAAAAAATTGTTGTCTTTTTTGCTAACAAGATGAATCATCGCGGAAATTTATATTGGGAAGAAATGAACACGTTATGCTTCATATCGAGTCGAAATTACGTCTGCCATCTCCGACAGTGGGACCTCAGTACTCTCACTCATGCTCTTTATTTGTTCAGGAACTGCCTATATTTCATCATTTTTTGTCTTTTTGTCTCTTTTTTGGCACTGTCATGTGTGCGCAGTTGAAATAGTTTCCAATTTTTAGTTATGTGTAACTTTTAATCCCTTCACTACTTGATTCTCAGCTATAAGTGTTACTGTTTACTCAACGTTGCTGATTTTGTTGTCGTGGAAACTGCGCCAGGTGTGGTTGCTTTTGAAAAACAATTGAATTCGCTTCACTGATGATATGCTATGCAGTATCGCGGCGATACGTTCACTGTACTCTTGTGCGTTCTCTTTCCAAGACTGGAATTTTTTGGCTTGAATTTCATGAAAAATCGTTTTCACAATTCGGTCCTTAACTCGTAAATCCGCCCATGTGCAAAATTACTCAATGGCATGATCATCCTACATTATACATTCTAGTTCTTTGATATTTACATTCTGCTTTTCATACTTGTGGCATTATTGTTTCCTTTCGCCTGCGTAATTTTTCAGTCCGCTTATCGAGTTTCGAACTACTAAATCCTGAAGTCTTGCAAGTCGATATAATACTTCAGAGACCTCTGGTGCAGCAGCGCTGCGACTTCCAGTCGGCGGCATGTGTGACTGCTTGCGACAGTTATGGCTGTTGACTCGCAAGAATCTCATTCTAACTCGACGTAGTAAAGTGTGGACGTTATTCGAAGTGGTTTTGCCAATTTTGTTCACACTGCCAATAATAATACTCATTGTCAGGGTTAGTTCATCTTTTCAGCTTCATTAATCTTGGTTTTCTATTTTCTATTTTCCCTATTAGAGTAGTTCTATGAGCTGAGCTCGATGAGCAATCGAGCTCGGGCGGATGATGGCGTTCATCTTACTGCTCTATGAGCTTCCCTCGAAATGAATCCGTGTGAAGCAACATAGTTTCATAGTTCCAGTGTTTTTTTTACTCTCCTTGAACTGCTTCTTTTACAGGGCGGTACCGTGCAGCTGTCGCCCGGCAGGTCGTTCGATGCTGTACCTCTTGAAGGTGGTGCAGGCGACATCAATCGCACCGTTGGTTTTGTAGCTGCCATTCGAACACGATGGTGTAATCGTCCGCGAGTCTCTATAGCCTATTGGTGAGTGGACATGCAATTTTTCAACTTTCGAAGCTGAAAGAGAGAAAAGTGGCGGTCAAATTAGTTTGGTTCATGAATGGATTATTTTACGCAAATCGAGCAATCAGATGATTGAGTTGCTCTCCGCCCAGTGGGCTCTGATAGTCCTTTCGTGTTGTTACACTGAGATTTGCGTTTTATCATTCACTCATTGTGTGTAAATTGGCTTTGTTACAGTGCTCGAGAAAGTGAGGTGCCTGTGGACAATTTGATGAATAAGCTGGCGAAGCGATTCAGTAGCCCAATTCTCACGGTAGATGTGGTGAAAATGAAAGACGAGGAGTACATGCTCGAACAACTTCGAGCGGACGCTCCAAATAGCACTCAGTATGGATGTGCCATCAACAAGTAAGTCTTAACTAGTCAATCTTTCCCGGAACTACTTCAATGTACTTAGATATCTACCCAGTATGACGGTAGTGTCAAACTAGCTGCCTACGTTAAGGTTCGCAGGCGGTGTGGTGTTCAAGCAGTTCGACACAACGGCTGGAAAGCTTGATTATACCATACTCATACCTACCGAGTTTCTTGACGATCCCTGGCATCTTGACCAGTTATGGGATGATCCCTTTGGAGCCAATAACGATTACAACAGGTGAGTTATACAAAATACTGATTGTGGTATAAAGCAAATTCATGCGCGATTTTCCATACAGAATCCCTGGAAAGCCCCCATACTGGTCGTCAGCATTTCTATCAGTCCAGTACGCTATTGATAGTCTTTTCATTGAGGTTGGTTATGACAGAAATAGCACTTTAGGAATTTGATACAGGTCATTGTAATGGAAATGTATTATTTAGGCCTCATCACCCAACGTAACCCTTGTGCCGGAGTTGAGACTCAGAAGAATGCCGGAGGCGACGTATAATTTGAATAGTGTAGCGGCTTTTCTGGGAGTCTCCTCGTATTTCTGGGGACTTTGTGTCTTCGTTTTGGTTATTCACACGGCAAGAGAGATAGCAAGTGAGAGGAGCACAGTAAAGGTTTGTTCGCGTTCAAATATTGTTGCATATTGAAAGCTTCGCGACACATGCTCACCTGGCTTGTTCAGGATTTTCTATCTGTGATGGGCCTTTCGACACCGGTTTTCTACCTTTCACATGTGCTTTACGCAACATTAAAATGCCTCCTCGTATTTTTGATATGTGCCATTCCACTCAGCACTCAGTTGGGAGTGAGTTTGCACTTTTGTTAGTTGTTTGTCTCTTTTTTACTGTTTATTCACCGGCTCTAATGTCATTTAGAATTGGCTGAAAACGAAAAATGGTGTTTGGTTTGTCCGTTTTCCAGGATCATAAACACGATAAACATTCCAACGTAGTATCCGACTTGAGCAGTAGAGCGCCTTAAAACTTTGGGGGAGAGAAAGGCTCACCGGCGGCGCAGACGCGAGCGGGGGCTGGTAATGTCAGTGACGTCAAGCGGCGCCTGCGTCGGCATCGCCGGTGAGTTTTCCCATGAAGCCTCTACCTTTGGCTGTCTCCAGAATCCCTCCCTCCCCTCTTGCCAACCATTGACAGCCATCGTGGAGACCGCTGGGACCTTTTTTCAGAGCTAAGCTCTAATTATGAACCACGCTCACGAATTGTATAGGATTTTTATAGTACCTGGTTTTCCTTTGAAAGACGACCTTGTATTGGAATTATGAGAAACAAATGGACTTCCTTGACCATTTTCGTAGGGAAAAATGCAACAAAGCACTAGTACGGCCACACGAGACGAAGAAAAGCAGACTTTTTGCGTTGATTTGCAGTTTGGTATTTTCAGAGTTTCTAGTTTGTTTCTGATCCGCTTCGTTTCAGCCAGTAAGCGCATCGCTGTTCTTCGTGACGTTGATATTATACGGTGTATCAGCGGTCGTCTTCGCGGCGCTTGTGTCATCCCTGTTCAAGACGCCCAATACGGCCCTCAAAGGTACCTTCTTGGAAACTAGTTGTGAATCATTATTTTTCATGATCTTTGCCCGGGTGCCACCGAGGTCGCGTTCTATCTCGGCAAGTTTGAAATCTCTCGCAACAGGCCAGTGCTTGTTGATGTCTCAAGGCAAATTATTCGTGGTCATCGCATTTATTTAACATTCGCGTAGTTCTCAAGCTTTCTTAAGATGATGTTATTGTGAATAGCGCCCCGCCTTCAACGCTGTGCACTTCTGACTATTTCGATAAAATAGCTCATTTTCACCGACACCGAAAAGTGGAGAATTGATAATACTCGGTGGAATTCAAAAAAGTTTTCACAACGAGCTCCTTTTGTCCAAGCGGAGGGGTCGGCAGGGTGCGTAGTTCCAGTCAAACCTCTGAACTGAGTTGAAGTTATCGATTAAGGGACCCTCTCAATACCTTAGCTGGTATCCTATGAGTTGCTTCTGTGCCAGAAACTGGCGAATAACGCAGTGTTCTGCTTTCAAATAACGATTTAGTGGTGATCGTGTTGTGGGTGATACTGGTTGCGGCACCGTTCCGTGCTCCTCGCGTCGATCAAATTCTCTACTGCACTCTGTACTCACTGAATCCGAACGCGGCTTTCTCGTACGCTCTCAAGACGTTTGCCGACTACATGAATCGAGGCAAGTTTCCTGGTTTTGCCTTTTGAGCGATTGTTTTTCAGCAAGGATTGCTAAGTGATCATAATCTCAGGTCGCGAACTGTCGTGGTCTAATAGTTTTGAAGACGGATCATTCCATTTCACCGCTGGAGCTGCTTTGGTGATGTTGTTGGTGGACATCATCTGGATGAGCGCAGCGACATTGTTCTTCGATTTCATGTTCAGTGACAGCGACTTCACGTTTTTCAAACTTCCGTTTGGGAACAGTGTAAGCGTTTGAATTTTTGCTTTATCAATCTTATTTTTAGACGCTCTCCTTCTGTACTATTGTTTGTGAATGATACACTCTCTAATGGTTGACTCTTTTGTCAATTGCAAATTTTTTCAGTACCTGAGTTCGTCTGCTCCTCGTCTAGAGCAGGATGACGGTAACAATGAGACCGACGAAGGCCTACTGAGAACACGAGCTGGAATTTCGGTGCAACGTCTGATCAAGGTTCGTTTGGGTTTTTAATTGTAGTTACATGAATTGGTCCCTTATAAATTTTCAAAGTAGGTGATGGGGACACGAATAAGCTGAGGATTTTCGAAAATCCTTAGTTTTCCACTCTGCTTTGATTTTCAACGTAACGGAATGCACGTCATTAATGTAACCCTTTTACCGAGGATGCCTTCTTCAATGGAGACTGCCCTTCGAGCGTCAGGGACGCCCAACGTTGTTCTCACTTTATAGCTAATTTTCCCAATTTGTCATTTGAACTGAGAAATTTTGTCATATTTTCATGAGCGCATTCGATTTTCGCCTAGAGTTTTCGGATTGACCTCGTTGCAGACCACGCACGTTTGGGCTTGGCGCGCGCGTGGAGTGAAAATCTTATCAGGGATTCAAGCGATGGCTTCTGAATAAAATGGTGAAAATACAAAGGAGAGACCTATTACCTCTTGTAAAAATATGGCCCAAAATTCTGTGTGGATAGCAGACTTCAGCACACGCATGGGATGCATGGTCACAATGTTAATGTATAGTCTTGATTTGTAGTGACTGACAATGATTCCTCCTTTTCAGGTCTGGACTTCAACGGGGGAGCGCGCCGTAGATGATATGTCTCTGGAAGCGTACGTAGGGCAGGTAGGTGTTCTTGTTGTATAGTTTTTATTTGATTGACATCTGTCTCCTCTTTATCAACATCTTTTAGGTTACTGTACTTCTTGGACACAATGGCGCTGGTAAAAGTACGACGTTCTCTGTAATATCCGGGATCACGGCACCAAGTGCAGGTACGTTCAAGTTGAAAAAAAACATACCAAAGAAACAGTTTTTCAATATTGGGGAACCCGTTGTCCCACCTATATGTCAGTCTTTTTTGAACTGAAACATATAAACTTCAGCACGCCTCTTTTAGGAACGGTTAGCATCTACGATCTGGACATACAGAAGCAGCGATCCGCGTGTCGAAAGCGAATTGGCTTGTGTCCGCAAGCTAACGCCTTATTCGACCGTTTAACAGTTGATGAGCACCTCTGGTTCATTCATGGCCTCAAAGGGGCTAGTGGCTCTTATAAGGTTGAAGGACAACAACTACTGGATCAGCTGAAATTGGACGAGAAATCTGACGAGGTTAAAATTTGTTCAACGCATTTCTTTTTCAACTATTTCTTTGTCACTTTTTGTTGTTGTGTTCCATATACGGGTTGTTTTAACTAGTATTTTGCTCAAAAACGATGCATTTAGCTTGCCATGAACCTTTCCGGAGGTCAAAAGCGCAAACTTTGTGTGTCGATGGCTGTGATCGGCGGTAGTGCCGTGGTGTTGCTGGATGAGCCGACTGCTGGCATGGATCCAGGGGCTCGAAGAGATGTTGAGGCTCTCTTGGAGACGGTCAAGGTGGATCGGTTAGTGGTGTATTTTCAGAATATGTGCTTAAAGAGTTTCGTAGCATTGCACGATGTTTAGAACAGTACTACTCACCACCCATTATATGGACGAAGCGGAACTGCTGGGAGACCGTGTCGCAATCATGGCCAAGGGTCGAGTGTACTGCTGTGGAACACCACAATTCCTGAAAAAGAGGTTGGTCGGAGCACTCTGTATTACCAAGCCGCATTATTAGGGTTTTATGCTTTTTATTCTTTGATTTCTGAGGGAAAAACAATCAGAAGAATCTTAACCAGTTCACATCAGTGGTGAAGTATTTCTGTTTTGGATTTTTACGGGAAGAGTGGTATTATTTCCGTTATTTACCTTCACTCGAATATCCATTGTGTATTTCAGATTCGGAACCGGCTATGTGATGACGGTGGTGGTTGCTGAAAAAGCAAACGCCTCGGACGTCGCTGGAACAGTGACTCGCATCGCGGGAAAATACGTTCTTGGAGCTGAAAGGGGAAATGTGCATGGAAAGCAGTTTGAGATAATTTTGCCGAAGGAACACCAGGAGAAGTAAGGGTTTGAACGATCTTTCAAGGTCCGCATGCCTCTTAACTTGCACAGTTTCTGCACCAATCACCTAACTGTGTCTGGATCAATAAAGAACTGCCTGCGTTTTTGAACTTATTTGTTTCTCCCAGCTCTTTTCCTATCTTCTGATTGCCTTTATATGCCGCTTTTTTTGCAGTTTCCCACAACTCTTCGAATATTTGGAAAGGTCTAAAGATTCCCTTGAAGATTTCC